ATGTGGAAACTAACTATGGATAGTACACGTAAGAGCACGGTTTCCTCTTTCCAAATAAAATATAAAAAAGGAGAGATTTTTCCTTTGAAAAAAGAATATATAATGAATTTCTATTGCCTGAAATTAAGAAAAAAATTAAAAAAATAAAATAAAATGTTAAACTTATCCTAATTATGAACTCAACAAACTTTTTCAGAACTCTAGTCACTTCTAATAATTTTCTTTTTTTATAAAATATGGAATAATCTACAATTCATTGGAAACTACATGCTGTTTGCACTCTATATAATATTAATAATATTAACAGATATTTGATAGCACTGAAAACAACTAGCCTAACATTGATAACTTCAACTAAATAGTGTCGTCATTATATTGAGAGAATCTTTTCATGGAATCATCGACCCCCTATATAATACATTTCCAATGTGAGCAGAACTTGAAATCAAAGAAATATCAAAATGAGTGAATTTGAGCTTCCAAAGGTGGATTTGAGTGGTCTTGATTTAACATGTCTCCATGATAAGACATGGGCTGAGGCTCGAGAAAATATAGCTCATGCTCTAAAGAAATTTGGATGCTTTGAGGTTGTTTATGATCAGGTTGGGCCTGAGCTTCGAGGTGGACTCTTGGGGCAAGTTATCCCAGAACTCTTCAAAGTACCGGACGTCGAAAAGTTGATTAACCCCTCGCAGGTGCCTTATCACGGTTTTCTTTTCCAGAAGGAAGGCTTTCCCTTTTTAAGTCTGAAAATATTTGAACTAAGCTCCAAAAATAATGTGCAAGACTTTTCCAATATGATATGGCCTCAAGGAAACGCATTCTTCAGGTAGCCCTTTTATTTTTTTATTAAATTTCAAAGCATATTTTGTTGCATCATAAGAAAGCTTACTCACCATTATCTCATTTTCTATGGTTAGCAATTTGGTTTGGAACTATGCAATTCATATGAAGGAGCTCTTACAAATGATCCATAAGATGGTTCTGGAGATATTAGGCTTAGAGGATCATTACAATTCACATATTGAATCAATAGACTATTCAATGAGGTTTACGAAATATTATAATGATTTATCAGAAAAAGGAACCAAAATCGTTATGCCTTCTCATAAAGATCCAAACTATATAAGCATTATTGGCCAACACAATATTGGAGGGCTTGAAATAGAAACTTCTAATGGTGAATGGATTTCCACGACTCCAATTAAGAACTCTTTTACTGTCTTACTTGGTGAAGCATTTATGGTATGTAATTGTTGACATTTTGTAGAGATTTTTAATTGCCTATCTATATTTTGTTGAATATTTCATACTTTGAATATAACTTTTTTTTTTTTTAATAATTAAGGCATGGACCAATAAAAGATTCCAAGCACCATGTCATCGAGTAAAAATGGATGGATCAGAAGAACGCTATTCCATTATTTTCAGTACATA